ACCCAGCTCCTGGCAACCACCAATCTGCTTTCTGTCACTGGATTTACCTATTCTGGATATTTCATATAAATGGCATCATGCAACATGTCACCTTTTGTGTCAGGCTTCTTTCACTTAGCATAATGTTTTTGAGGCTTATCTATATTGTAGCACATATCGGTATTTCATTTCCTTTTATGGCTGAATGAATAATATTCTCATATATATGTACACGAGTGTGTGTGTGTGTGTATATTCCAATTTGTTTATCCATTCATCCATTGATGGACCTGTGGGTTGTTTCTACCTTTTGGCTATTGTGAATAATGCTGTTATGCACATTTGTGTATAAGCATTTGTTTGAGTACCTATTTTTAATTATTTTGTTATATACCTAAGAATGAAATTGCTGGGTCATACAGTATTTCTATGTTTAACTTTCTGAGGAACTGACATACTGTTTTCTATTGTGGCTATACCATTTCACATTCCCACCAGCAGTGCACAGGGTTCCAATTACTCTATGTCCTCATCGACACCTGTTGTTTTCTGTTTTTTTGGTAATAGCCATCCTAGTGGGTATGAAGTGATACCTCATTGGGGTTTTGATTTGCATTTCCCTAATGGCTAATGAGCATATTTTCTTGTGTTTATTGTCCATTTACATATGTTCTTTGGAAAAATATCTATTCAAATACTTTGCCCATGTTTTAGTTGTTTGTTGTTGTTGTTGTTGTTGTTGAATTATAGGAGTTCTTTATATATTCTGAATATTAACCCCTTATCATATACATGATTTGCAGATATTTTCTTTCATTCCTGGGGTGTCATTTCACTGTGTTGATAGTATCATTTCATGCACAAAAGTTTTTAGTTTTTTTTTTTTTTTTTAAAAGATGACCGGTAAGGGTAACTTAACCCTTGACTCAGTGTTGTCAGCACCAAGGTGAGCTAACCGGCCATCCCTATATGGGATCCGAACCCGTGGCCTTGGCGTTATCAGCACCACACTCTCCCGAGTGAGCCACGGGCCAGCCCCCAAGTTTTTAGTTTTGATGTAATCCTATTTATCTATTTTTTCTTATTATCTGTGTTTTTGGTTTTATATACAAGAAATTGTGTCCAAATCCATGTCATGGAGCTTTTCCCCAATGTTTTCTTCTAAGAGTTTTATGGTTTTAGCTCTTACATTTAGGTCTATAGACTTAACATTTAAACTCATTCTACTTCATTAATTCTTAGAATGTTCCTGTCTGCATTTCAATGCTCATGATCTCCTTTGTACTTAGAATTCCTTTTCCCCCATCTCCATGTATTCAAAATATTCCTATCTTTCAAGGTCTGTTTCACATGCTGCCTGCTTCATGAAGTCTTTCTTTAGCTCGCCCGCTGAAGAGAATTTCTTCTTCTGATCTCCAATTAGTGCTTTAGTTTCACTTTTTTATAGGATTTATGTAGTGCCTTATAGTTTACATCTATTCCTGTACAAGACATTTAGATGAGATGTATATTTTTCATATTTGTTTCCATTCAGTATTTTGCAAATTATTTTATATTTATCAGTAAAAATATCTTGAATTAATGAATGTTTTAACTTTTCCCGATGTGGTCCCTTTTGTCTACTTAGCCCTTCTGGAAAGCATGAGAGAAGATGAGACAGGAAGGAAGGCACAGAGTCTCACCTACGTAGTGGGTGGATGTGGGCTTAGTTCTACATCAAAACTCAGCTCTTTAGGAAATTTTTCTTATAATTTGCCTATCTTGCTTTGACTGCATAACTCTTTTTGGTGCTCATTTTGTATTGCATTTAATTTCTACTTGGTTTATTGCTTGTAAATGTGACAATAGGTCCTTTAAAATGAGCGTTTTATCTCCCCAACTGGATTAGATCAGCTAATTCTCCAATTAGATGGTAGTTTTCTCTTTTTTAAGCTGATTTTTAAAATACACTAAAAATATATGAATATATTTTCCTTATAAAAAAGTCAAAAGGGCTGGCCAGTTAGTTCACTCAGTAGAGCATGCTGCTGATAATTCCAGGTCAAGGGTTTGGATCCCTGTACTGGCCAGTTGCAAAAAAAAAAGTCAACCATAACAGATAAATCTAAAGTCCACTTTGATCAACCCAGTTCCTATCCCACTACCTTCTTCCCCTACTCGGTTAATCACTGTTATTAGTTTTCTGTGAGCACTGGCAGACCTTTTTCTATACATGTACTTACATAGTCATATTATAGTAGAACTTCATTTGTAACACATATATGTACAAATTATATTTATATATAATTATTTCTCCTCTGTTTTTCACAATTGCCTATGGTGATTAATAATCAGCAAATACTAAATAAATCTTACCAATAACCTGCATCTGAGAGACTAGAATGAGAAGTAAAAGGTCAAGCATCTGAAAACAAATCATATGTGTCCAGCTTGCAAAATTCCATTTCATGTCTGTTCTGCATATGGTCCCCAGGTATCATTGGACAGGACATGGCTCCACGGTCCCGGCGACAAAGGCACAGGAAACCCCCCTTATCAGTGGCTCCACCCACAGTTGTGACCCCAGTGCCTCTGACACTCCCCAAATCTGGCCCTAGCATTGATACACTTGGCTTCTTCTCCTTGGAGAAAAATGTTCCTGGTCTATCCCAGGTGATCCTTCAAAAGCTGAACATGAAAAGCTATGAAGAGTACAAGTGAGTGACCAATTCTATGGAAGAGGGATATATTGTCTCTGGTAGAATTGATTTCAGAGGGTAGATAGAGAGGAATATAATTTGGGCAGTATGGAGTATTTGCAATGAGGGATTTTTCTCATCCAGACGTTTGCCAGTTTTATTACTACAGAAGAAATATAATTTGCTTAAATGAGGAAATGATGGGAGTAGGAGACATAGGAGTAGGTAGAAATGTATAGGAAGCAAGGTGTGGGAATAAGAGATTTTGAAGATACATATTCTTTTTCCTATTGCACTCCTTCTCCATGCTGTCTCTGCAGGTTGGTGATAGATGGTGGTACCCCTGTATCAGGCTTCGGATTTCAATGTCCTCAAGAAATGTTCCAGAGGATGGAGGACACTTTCCGATTCTGTGCTCACTGTAGAGCACTCCCTAGTGGCCTTTCAGGTTCCAAGGTCCTCCGGCACTGCAAAAGGTGACTTGTGAAGGGCTAATAGGGGAGATATTCAGAAATGACCCAATAATAAGACCTCATTCCGAGAGGAAAGGTCAAAGAGTTTTCAGAATAACAAGGTCCATTCCTTATTTTGTGTGATCCAGGCTACAGAGAGATTAAAGCAGCCTTCTAACCGTGCTTATTTTTGGTGTTATGAGGAAGTGAGACAAGACACCACAGTACAATCTTCTCTATCACCCCTTTCTTGAGTATTCAAGGGATAAGACCACATCTCTTCTGGGGAGGTTGGGGTCAAGATATACCTGTGATAAAAGAGCAACTGCAAACTTCTGGTGGGATTTTTTTTTTTTTTTTCCTGAAAAAGATGTAAAAAGTGAATTGCTCCAGATTGAGACTAAGGTGTCACTCTGATAGAATAATGACATTCCCATCCCTCCTACCTCTTCTGTGAAATGTAGTCCCCAAATTTGGTGCATCTGCTGTCATTCCTCTCCCCACCTTCCTTACCCAGTTACTGATTTTTCTTCCTAGGTGCAGGAATATGTCCCTTCCCCTATCACCCTCAATCAATTTTATGGTATAGGAACATCCATTTCTATGGCTCATTTTCTCAGGTGCAGAAATGTTTATTACTGTGGTCCAGAGTGCCAGAGGTCAGACTGGCCAGCACACAGGACAGTTTGTCAAGAGCTTCGTCTTGTGGCTGTGGACCGTCTCATGGAATGGCTTCTGGTCACAGGTAGAGTGGTGGTGTTGGGGAACTCTGCTATAATGGTCATAGTTGGTTGTATTTGGAGAAAGAAATGAAAGCATATTGTTTTAAAAAAAATGGGGAACAAGGGAAAGGAATGGGGCACTCCTGGTCACAGTTGGCAGAGTAAACATGGAGGAAATAGTGGTCATTAGTGAGGAGGTAATTTTGAAGCCAGGGAAGGATTAGGTCACTCTTATTCTTTCTTTCCTGCAGGTGATTTCGTCCTACCTTCAGGACCTTGGCCATGGCCACCTGAAGTTGTACAAGATTGGGACACCTGGTTTTCTATGAGGGGGTTACAGCTAGATGCTACACTGGATGCTGTGATAGGTAGTCATGCCATGACCACCCTATGGACCAGTGTAGGACGGCCAAGGCCAGACCCGGATGTCCTGCAGGGCTCTTTGAAGCGGCTGCTTACAGATGCCCTGTCACGGCCGTTGACTCTGGGCCTAGGGGTTAGGGCCTTGGGGATAGAGGTTGGGAAGATTGGGGGAAGCACAGTGCATGTGATTGGTGCTTCCCATGTGGAGACATTTCTTACTCGCCCTGGAGACTATAATGAACTTGGCTACATGTTTCCTGGACACCTTGGCTTCCGTGTGATCATGGTGGGTGTAGACGTGGCTACTGGCTTTTCACAGAGCACCTCAACTTCATCCCTGGAACCTGGCACAATTCAGCTTATTGGCCACAGGGGCCTCTATCATGACTTCTGGGAGGAGCAGGTAGAGACTGGGCAGATAGCCCATCCAGATTTGGTGGTGGCATTCCATCCAGGTAAGAATCATTGATTGAGGGGAATACTGGTTGTCTCCCCTGAGAATTATCCATCCTGACTCTTGTATCTTCTATCTTTGGAACCCCATTCATTTGATCTCATTGAATACAATGTGATGATAACCTTGCTTGATAATTTGCCATTTATACTACACCTGGGTTCAGAATTTTCTATTGAAGAACCTGGGTTGGAAGAAGAGTGTTGGGGATAAGCAAGGTAAGGATTGGGGTAGACACAATGAAAGACTTATCTTGCTCTTGAGGTCCACTTCAGCCTTTCTCCTCCCTATTCCCATTCCTATAGGTTTCCATTCCTGTCCGGACTTGATGGAGGCTTGGCTGCCCACTCTGCTGCTACTTCGTGACTATGAGATCCCTACATTGATTACTGTTTACAGGTTTTTTACCTCTTCCTATTCATGATACTTCCCTGACTCACTCCCACCTCTCTTTATAAAATTGAGCTCATTTTGCTCCCCCTTGCTCATCTATCTTCTGGTAAGGATGTTTTTCCTTCCCACATGTGGGCTTTTTCATGCCCTTGGAGAAAAGTGCTAGTTAATTGGGTGTTTAGTGAGACATTTGGGAGGGAAGGATAGCCTTTGCCTAGTCTGGTCCTAGGTAATTTTTGAGGTTGATGAGTACAGAAATGTCAGGCTTTTGAGCAATTTCTCCCCTGTGTCTCATAATCAGTAGAGCAGTTTTTCTTCTCTCTATCCCACAGCCATCAGGAATTGGCAGCCTCTTTGCAGATTCTGGTGGACCTGGATACACACATCACTGCCTATGGAGCTAACCCTTTCACATCCCTCAAACCTGAACAGGTCTATTCTAACCCCAACAAGCAGCCAGTATACTGTTGTGCCTACTATATCATGTTTCTTGGAAGCTCCTGGCAGCTGGATAAGAGGCAATTGGAAGATAAAGTTGATGGTGGGGTTTAAATAGCTGAGCCAGGTCCTGAGTAGATGTCTGGAAAATGGGAAGTTGTGATAAAATTACCCTGCTGATGCCAGGATGTTGCCAGGTTTGAAACCTACTGTGTTCTAAACCTCATTCACTGTCTGGGTAAGGATTTTAAGCTAAATGAGAGCTCCTGTATGATGTGGTTAGCCACAATAGCTTCTAAAGATAGGACTCTAGATGTAGCAGGTGGCGAGAGGCCCTGGTGTCAGTCTTTCCAGAGCCTAGAGTTCCCAACAGTTTCCTTTGTTAGGAAGTTCGATCTTTTGACTGGAACCAGATGGCACTGAGGAGGGAATGAGAACTATCTTATTCCTCTGAAAAAGACTTTCTTCTTATCCAGAAATCTGGGCCAAAAAATGGAGAGGTGTTAATGTCTTTTAGTGGTGCAAGAATGGATAAGTCAGGGAAGTTCTTGGAACATGGGGGAGGTTGTAAGGATTTTGGCTTTTTTGAGAAAAATGTCTCGTTTTCTTATTTCCTCTTGGGGACTTTTGACCCTAGAGAGCAGCCCTGGTGTTGTATTTTAGATATCCCCAGGTACATTAGACTTTACCTTAATATACTGGAGTTATTTGTTATCCTGTGTTCTATACTACAATAAACTCAGTTTGGGACTTCTTAAATCACTTGTTTTATTTTATTTCTTATTCACTGACAAGAATTACTCATCTGCACGCAACACCTCAAGACTGGAAATTTCTCTCTTACCAAGGGTGTGATTAACATCAGCTCTCTGTTTGGGCCTGCCACTCTACCACATGCTTGTTCGATGTCATTCTTCTCTTATCACTCCCTCAGGAGTAGGACACTCCTACAGCCTTGCCATTCACACACACACAACCCATCATCCCAACACAACATATACCCACTTATTGCCCACTATGTTATGGTTAATTTTAGAATTTATGTATTCATTCAAAACATTTAGTTAGTATTTACCATGTGAAAGTTACAGTATTGTGGTTTTGGGGACATAGAAAGGTGAGTGAAGGGCCGAGCCTGCGGCGCACTCGGGAGAGTGCGGCGCTCCGCGGGTTCAGATCCTATATAGGGATGACCAATGTGCTCACAGCGCTCACTGGCTGAGCACGGTGCGGCCCGTCTCAAAAAGGACAAAAAAAAGAAAGGTGAGTGAGACATGGTCCTTATTCTTAACCTAGGAAGTGAAATAATATGTATACAGAGATATCTTTATTGTAAGGTATAATATGGAATAAAAAACATGAGAGAGGCTTGTAATGCTAAGGAAATAGAGTGAAAGACAGATCACTTTGCTAACTAGTAGTGAAAGTATTGTGAATTAGAATTTTATGAAACAGAGGGCAGGGCATTCCAGATGGAAGGAACAACAGGAGCAGAAGTTTGGAGGTAGAAAAGCATAAGGAATATTTTAGGGTAGGTTGGGGGATTAGTATAAATTAAGTTTGGACAGTAGATTGTGACCAAATTATAGAAGGATCATAGCCTACTGGTCAGCTTTGGATTTATGTAGATCTGACTGAATCCTGGGGCAACCATCAAATATTTTTGTGCCCCTGGGAAAGCCAAACTTCTCTAAGCCTTGTTTCCTCATCTGTAAAATGGAGATAACATCTAGTACTCAAACAAAAATATTTGCAAAGTTGGAGGACTCACAGGTACCAGTTTCAAAACTTACTACAAAGCAACAGTAATCAAGACAATGTAGAACTAGCACAGGACAGACATACGGACCAATGAAATAGAATTGAGAATTGTCTTAGTCTGTTTGGGCTGCCATAACAAATATCATAAACTGGGTAGCTTATAAACAACAGATTTATTTATCACAGTTCTGGAAGCTGGGAAGATTAAGGTTAAGGCATTGGCAGATTTGGTGTCTGATAAGGGCCTGTTTCCTGGTTTATAGAAGGTGGCTTCTTACTGTGTCCTCACATGGTGGAAGGGGCAACCAAGCGCCCTTGTGCCTCTTTTGTAAGGGCACTAATCCCATTCATGAGGACTCTGCCCTCATGACTTAAGTATCTCCTAAAGGCCTCACCTAATACCATCACCTTGAGGGTTAGGATTTCAACATATGAATTGGGTGTAGGGGAGACAAAACATTTAGACAATAGCAAAAAGAAAAAAGGAAAATTCTTACATTTATGGTCAATTGATTTTTGACAAGTTTGCCAAAACAATTCATTGGTAAAAAAAAAAAAATAGACTTTTTAACAAATGATGCTGGGACAACTAGGTATCCACATGCAAAAGAATAAAGTTGAATGCCCAGCTCACACAATATATAAAAATTAACTCAAAATGGCTCAAAGACCTAAAGAGCTAAAACTATAAAACTCTTAGAAGAAAATATAGGGGTAAATCTTCATGAATTTGTATTGGGCAAAGCTTTTTTAGATATGACACCAAAGCACAAGCAACCAAAATAAAAATGTGTAAATTACACTGTCAAAATTTAAAATTCTGTGCTTCAAACAACACCATCAAGAAAGTGAAAAGAGTGGAAGAAAATATTCATACATCATATATCTGATAAGGGACTTGTATCCAGAATATATATAAAGAACTCTTACAACCTAAAAGGACAAATAGCCCAATTTTAAAAATGGGCAAATGATCTGAACAGACATTTCTCCAAAGAAGATATACAGATGGCCAATAAGTATGTGAAAAGATGCTCAACATCATTAGTCATGAGGAAATAGAAATCAGAACCACAACGAGATACCACTTCATACCCACTGTGATAGCTATAATAAAAAAGACAAAGGCTGGCAGGTTTGCTCAGTTGGTTAGAGCAGGGTGCTAATAACACCAAGGTCAAGGGTTCAGGTCCCCATGCAAAAAAAAAGCAGTAACAAGTGTTGATGAAGATATGGAGAAATCAGAACCCCCTAAACTCCTGGTGGGAATGTAAAATGGTGCAGCCATTTTGGAAAACAGTCTGCCAATTCCTCAAAAAGTTAAACATTTAGTTACCATTTGATCCAGCAACTCCACTCATAGGTACGTACCCATGAGAAAGGAAAACATGTACACAAATATTCATACATAGCATTATTCATTATACCCCAAAGGTGGAAAGAAACCAAACGTTCATCACCTTATGGATAGATAAGCAAAATGTAGTATATTCATACAATGAAATATTTGTCCATAAAAATTCATGCTATATAACATGGATGAACCTTGAAAACATTAAGTGAAAGAAGCCGGTTACAAAGGACACATGGCGTATCAGTGCATTTATATGAAATGTCTGAACAGGCAAGTCCATGGAAACAAAAGTAGATTAATGGCTGTGTATGGATGGGAGAATGGTAGTAATGGAAGTATTGGAGGTAGTGGCTGAAGGGTATGGGGTTTCTTTTTGGGGTGATGTAACCATCCTAAAATTGATTGTGGCAATGGATGCACAACTCTGAACATACTAAAAACCATTGAATTGTATACTTTACCTGGGTGAGTTATATCTCAATAAAGCTGTTACCCAAAAATTTTTTGTACATCTCAGAGAATGTAAAAAGTGAGAATATTTAAGTGCTTAACACAATGCCTAGCAAATAATATGTACTTAATTGTAGCTATTATTGAATACATACCACTTTGAATTTTGTCCAGAAACGTAGATTGAAATGGCAGTACTGTGTAAGATGGTTTGGTGGTGGAAAACCCAGTTAGTATGCTATTGTCGTGGTTTAGACAGAGGTAATGAGGTGTTAGCTATAGCAGTGGGCATGGAAAGGAAGAGGCAATTTCTAATTATAAGGAGTAAATAAGTAGAGAGTGATACTTTGTAGTTAGAACATGAAAGTAAAATCTATAGGATTTTTGGTTACTGATTGTGATGGAAGGAGGGTGATGTATCTGTCAAAGTCTAATTAGGAGACAGAAACCACACAGTAACAGTAGACACAAAAATTTTCAACTTAGTAGAATGATGATGATAGTACATAAAAGTTCAGGTACCTAAGCTTCATGATAAATGCTGAGGATTCTAAGATGGCTTCTGCCCTTAAAAGTGTTTTCAGTTTAAAAGGAGACTCACTTAAGCGAGGGCAATAGAGTTGTATTTTCTAAGGTAGCATTTGAAGTGAAAAAGTCTTATTTGCAAAACTACTACTGAAAATCCCTTAGAATAGCACTGCCATAGGTCCTCTCAGTAGGTCTATCAGAGGCTGATTTTCCTCCAGTATTGGAAAGAAGTCTTTGTTTACTTAGCTGAAATAGTTGGCTTGGGTTTTGGGGCCCTATTGTAATCAATCAGTTATTTATTGAACACATTACTAGGCTCTGGAGATATCCCTGTTCTCACGGAGCTACATTCTAGTGGGGGAGACAAATGGTAAACATACTATTTCAAATGCTTTTAAATGCCTTGAAGAATTTCAATAGGGTAATGAGTGTATGTATAACTAGTAACAGTGTTGGTGGTGGTAGCAACTACTAATACTACAATTTTTAGGGAGTACTTCTGAGGAGAAGACATTTGAGATGACACGTACAGTGGAGAGTATTCCTAGTAGAAGTAATAGCAAAATGCAAAGGTTCTGAGAATCTTTCATGTGTTTGGGCACAAGCTTGGTATGTTCTGACAGAAGGCCACTATAATCAAAGCTTAGTGATTTGAGAAGGAAGGTGAAAAGGGATGAGATGAGAGAGGTAGACATGGACCAGATTGTATAGGGCCTAATGCCATGGTCAGGAGTTTGGATTTTATTCTGGTTCCAGTGAGAAGCTATTAAAGGAGGTTAATCAAGGGAATGACATGACCCGATTTACTCGTTAGAAAGGTCACTCTTGACTCAGGGTTTCTTAACCTCAGCACTGTTGACATTTTGGACTAAATAATTCTTTTTTTTTTTTTTAAAAGATGACCGGTAAGGGGATCTTAACCCTTGACTTGGTGTTGTCAGCACCACGCTCACCCAGTGAGCGAACCGGCCATCCCTATGTGGGATCCGAACCCGGGGCCTTGGTGTTATCAGCACCGCACTCTACCGAGTGAGCCACGGGCCGGCCCTGGACTAAATAATTCTTTGTTGTAGGTATTGTAGGATATTTAGTAGCATCCCTGGCCTCTATCCACTGGATGCTAGTAATATTCCCTTCCCTTCCAGTTGCGACAACCAAATATAATTGCCAAGTGTCCCCTGAGGGACAAAATTACTGTTCTAACTGTACAAAAAGTATGTGTACTTAGACTCTGACACATTGGGATGTTCAGATTAGGAGAAGCGTAATGGCTCCCATTTCACATGAACTCTGAAGCATTTAATGGCCTTCAGAGGTGTTTTTTGTTTTTGCTGTTTATGAGGTTGATGTTCATGTCCTCGGACTCCACTGTTAAATGTGTCACAGTGGACATCTATAGAAGGTACAGTTGGGTGGCAAACAGGGAGTAATTAAGTCTACCTAAGGGAAGGCAAGGAAAAGGAGGAGGAAGTCGGGAAGAGTTTCTTGGAGCAGGAGGGAGATAGGCAACCTTTGAACTGAGTCTTAATAGATGAATAATTGTCAAAAGGTGGGCAGTGCTTTCTAGACTGAGGAAGCATGAGGAAAAGGATCCTGGAGTGCCTTGTATGCCAGGAAAGGACAAGTTGAAAGGATAAAATGGGAAATATAATGGTGTCTGAACAGG